GATAACATGTGTTTATTAAGAGAGCGACTTAATTCTTTATTTGTGATTTTTTTCCTGTTTGTTTATTTTGCTGATTGCTTTTCAACCTTTGCTGCTAAAGGTGAAAGCTAATGAAGGGGAGGGCCCGGAACTGCTTCGTAGTGCATCTGACAGCAGTAGCAGTGGGCATGCGGAATCACTGGCTGCAACTCTTGCAGAACATCGCCAACATTTAGTTAGCATACAGGTCTAGTGATACCGGGATAACACTAATCATTTACGGGCTAGTCCTCCCTGTAAAATTTCAGACCTTTATCCCTTTACTTTTATGATAATCCTTTTACTAATTCATGGGCAATTCTATTTTTCACGGGGCCTGCTGCCTATTGTCTTCAAACAAAATGCTAACTGCATACATGAAACATAACAACTGTCAGATCAGCTTGTGCTACAAATGGGTTTTCTGGTTAGATGGACAAGTTTCGTAAGATTTACCTCGGATGTTGTAAGTAGAGGAACCCTGTATAGGCCAATGTCAGTTGTCTATGCTTTGCATGATAATGTTCTCCAAATGTAATCTTCTTTTATAGATTAACTTAAGCCAAAAGACAACGTGGTTCGAAGTGCTTTATGAATCGAGGTGCATGTGAATCAATTATATATGAGCTCTTGTATAAGTTGGAAATTTGCGATGTTGTATTATTTATTATAACCTTTAGAAATGTTAGTTATTTTGCAGCTGTGTTAAACCCAGCTACAAAACCATGTGCTTGCTGTTAACCTTAGTGGGTTGCTTGTAAGTGCTGGGTAATAAGCTCTTGAAGAAAGATGGATATTCTTAAAGTACTTCATGGAATGTGAAAAAGGAAGAAAAAAAAGAAAGTCAAACCTTATATCCTTGTTGCTTTTTCGTTTTTCTACTTCCTTTGGTTTTAGACCTCGCACCGATAGTAATATAAAAATTAAAAACCTCAGCTTGGATTTCACGGATGTCTTTTGTCCTTTCCTAGGCACCGCAGTTTTGGTCATTTTAATTTGAGGAAAACAATTCTAAGACCATAGTGATGATGATACAGCAATGATGTGGAATCAGACAGGTAATGGATTATGAAGATACAATCACATAAAATGGGGATTCTTAGTACTCCGCAAAGTCAGTATGTATTTGTGAGAAAAGGTCATCTAAGAAAGCAACCGTGCGCACAAACATACTTTTACTAGAAAAGCGTCATCTAAGAAAGCAGTCGTGCGCACGAACATAATTTTACTAGAAAAGCTAGATAGTATCCAAAAGAACCCAGCAATGATCAAAACTACATTCTGAAATGTAGATGTGAATCCGTGCAAATCTTTTAGGTTCATTCGAATCAATCAATATTTATTACTAATTATTATTATTATTATTATTATTTTGTTAATCGTGATATTGAATTATATGTCCAGTTTTATTTATCTTATTGGAGCTGCAATGCTTTTCAATGATTCTTCATATTTATGCATCCCATAGGCTCGTTCGAATCAACCAAGTAATCGATCCGGTTGAACCAAGCCGAGGAGCCTCATCGAACCCGAACGTTTTCACAAATTCACATTCAGTTCACAATCACTGAGGTCAAACCCAAGCACGGCTCGATTAATTGTGTGGCCTGACGAATCCGTGCACAATCCGCTCATATCAGTACTCCAACCATCAGATGCCGACCTCACGGCTCAATTCCTATGATATAAAAGATCGTGCTGACCGAGTCAAAACTCTGTGTCCCTGGAATCCTCGGCACGGCGGAACCCTTGCGCTCGCTCGCTCGCTTTGAAGATTGCGACTTTATCTAGCAATCCTCGGCACGACGGTATCCGCATCTGGTCTTCCTTGCCCGTTGAGGTAAGTTTCCTTCTTCTAAACCCTAGCTAGTTTTCTGATACCTTTATCGCGCTAGTTTTCTTCTAAACCCGTTGAGGTAAGTTGGCCTTTGATTTGATGACAACTTGAGCTAGGGTTTTCGTTGTTTTCCATCATCTGATCAAAATCGCTCAATTAGGGAAGAAAGATCAAAATCGAAGACAAGAGGGAAGGAGAGATCAAGAAGGGCAAGAAAAAGATCGAACAAGAGGAGATCGCGAGGGGTTCTTGGAGGATGAGATGGCGTTGAAATTTCTAAAGAAGAAGGGATGGCACACCGGGAGCCTCCGGAACATCCTGTGCTTCAGGACATTCTTGCAAAAAAACTGTCTGACTGGGCAATTAAAGATACTTTGATTAAATGAATTGGGTGGGTCACTCCTTGTTTCTATATCTTTATAAAACGATCAAAATATTTATCTTTTAAAAAATAGTTTCCCACTTAAATTTGATCTAATATTATAGTAATTTTAAATAAAGTTGGATTATATATTTTTTTAAACTGAACCAAAAATACTATAGCTAAATAATATGGATATTTTACCTAAAAAAACTTGTATTATTGAATTTTTATCCGATGACACCGCCTAATTGGTTTTTATGATGAAAATATCCTCGGTCAAATCCATAAATAACATCGATAATCCATCATAAATGAAAATATCCTCAGTCAAACAGGTCATTCAGTAGATTATTTTATAGTTGCATAAAGGTATGACAGGTTTGCTTTCTCTCTCTCTCTCTCTCTCACACACACACAAATAAATTTAGGGTCTTACTATATGCTACTTGAGAAGGCTCGTAATTTATCAACTCTTAAAATAATTCTTTGTGATGGCAGGAATTGATAGAGGAGTTAGGTATATATATAGTAGGTTTCGACAGAGCTAGATATGGTGAAAGTGAGCCCAATCCCAGTCGTTCACTGAGGAGCGAGGCGTCAGATATCGCGGAGTTGGCAAATGCTTTGGAGCTGGGCCCCAGGTTTTACCTGATTGGGTTCTCCTTGGGTGGCCATGCTGTCTGGGCGTCCATTAAGTACATTCCAGATAGGTAACTGTGGTTTGCTATACTACAATGTCACGTACATAGTTCATGGTGTGTTTGCCGCTGCCGCAGCCTTACAAATAGATGTCATTTGGGTTTTACCTCCTGCAACATCAGACTGAGCAAGCACCTGAGAATGTTGCAATTCATTTCAGGATTGCTGGAGCTGCTATGATGGCACCAGTAATAAACTACAGATGGCCTGGGTTCCCGCGGCATCTATCAGAGGAGGCTTACAGAAAGCAACAGCCTGGAGATCAGCGGGCATTGCGAGTTGCATATTATGCCCCCTGGTTGCTGCATTGGTGGATGAAACAGTCGTGGTTGCCTTCCTCCACCGTTATCAAAGGCACAACCCATCTGCCCAACCGCTTGGATGCACAAGTTCGTGAGTACGCCATGAAGAATAGTGGAATGTTCGAAGAGGTTGGTGCTACCCCAGTGTCCTTTTTTTTTTTTTTTTTTTTTGACCCATTTCAACTGTTCAAGGAGCTTTGTAGTATGACGCTGCAAGAACTGAAGAATGCAAGCGTCACTGTGCTTGCAGAGGCGGAAACTTGCCACTCAGCAAGGCATGCTTGAGTCGTTTTACCGAGACATGATGGTGATGTTCGGGAAGTGGGAATTTGATCCGATGGATCTCTCGCAACCGCCCTTTCCAGTTCATCTATGGCATGGGGATGAAGACGGGCTCGTGTCGGTTACTCTACAGCGATACATCTGCAGCCGCCTCAGCTGGATCAACTACCATGAGCTGAAGGAAACAGGGCACTACTT